TTTTTTTTGGTGTTGAAACAATAATGACATCCAACAAGAATAATTTTCATTTCGTTACTGGTTTACTACAACTACAAATAAACATAGTGGCAACTTGGAATATTTAATTACAATAGAGGAGGACAGCAGCAGTTTGGATCATCATAGCTTGAGCAATTAAAACTATAAATATTACTTCAAAAAGAATTTGAGACTTTATTTTTCTAAAAAGAAAGACTAAATTTTTGAGTAATTAATTAATGAAAAATTAATGATTTGATGAATTCTCGGGGGAGAATAGAAAAAAAATTGCAATTGGCAGGTGAAAAGTGAAAAGTTCTGCAAATCCCAGTGGAGAAAATCTCAAAACCGAAATAGTTTCGAAAAGCCTAAATTGAAATCAAGATAAAAAAAATAAAATAATAAAAATAAAAAATAAAAACTCAATATAACTCAAATCCACTCAATTGTTGTGGTTAATGTTTACTCTACCTTTGCATTAGAGTATATGCTGAGAATTAAAGTTTCAATTTAAGTAAAAAGTTAATTGAAATCTCCATAAACAAAGGTCTATAGAATAAACATTAGTTTGAAATTTTGATGAATATACCAAGTGAATGTTAGCTGCATTTTAAAATAATTTCAAATAGTTAATGCACCAAGTAAATTAGTTTGATATGTGAAAGTTCAACAAAAAATACTTAACCATAAGTTGAAAAAGTCTATACTATAAACATTAAGTTGATATAATTTAAGCTAAGGGAAAATTTTAATTAATTAGCTTGTGTTTACTTAAATTAAGAGTGGGCTTGTGCAGTATGCTTGCTTCTCTGCCACAACTGATCCAGGTCTTGAGGAAGAAGAAGAGCAGCTTAATTAAGGTAAGACTGTTGATATGCTTGCCAAATTCATAGGTGTCAGGGAATTCAATCGAAAAGAAAATTTACAGAAAGAGCTCTACTCTTGTTGAATTGTAATTCATGAGAGTAGGAAAGGGAGAACTGCCAAAAAAAAAAGATATAGATTAAAAATACAAGATTTTAATTAAGAATAATTTATTGATAAATATTAATCTTTTAAAAATATTTTATATTTATGTTTTTCTCTTTTTATTAAATTAGTTAGAGTTAGGGACTAATTTTATTTAAAATCCAACTAATTTGGTGATTATATTGTGATTAACCATTTTTTTCTTCAAATATATTAACAACAACCGTTAATGTGCGCAAAAACCTAAAATAAAAATAACGAACATGAACGGCAGCTGTTGAGTGAACCGTTAAATAAGGGGTGAATTTGCTTAGATTGTTGACTTTAAGGGCTTACAAGGCTAAAACGTTTAGGAACTTATACGGTAAAATAAAGTAAGTTTAAGGACTTGATCATGGTTTTGCCTTTGATGGTATTAATTTTAACTTCAAAATAACAACACATTTATAATTAAAAAATGCCGTCGTTGCACAGGAAACACGATTTTGATGTACGACTTTATATATATATATTTTATATGTTATTTTTATATAAAATTTTAGTTAATTATTTTTTATTTTTAATAATTAAAATTTATCATATTTTTTAAATAAATAAAATAATTATTTTTAATAAATATAAATAAATTGTAATTATAAAAAGTAAAAAG